GATTGTCACTTTGTGAGAGAGGAAGTGATAACCACATCTCATGTGAGCTCAGGAAATCAATGGGCAGATCTCTTTACAAAGGGATTGTCTCGGGGCAGAGTAGATTATATTTGTGACAAGCTGGGACTATATGACATATACTCTCCAGCTTGAGGGGGTGTTAGAGTACACAAAACAGGGGTATTTTGGTCATTGGGTTTATTTATTTGAGATTGAAAGGTCTGTTTTATTCAAGTTTAAGTTATGTGTCCCATCACTTATGAGGGACAATATGGTCTTTCTTGTAACTATGTTATTGGAAATAAATACAAGTGGGTCGACTAGAGAGAGGATGGATTTTCCTCTATTGGCCAAACCCTTCTTCTTCTTCTTCTTCTTCTTCTTCTTCTTCTTCTTCTTCTTCTTCTCCTCTTCTTCTTCTTCTTCTTCTTCTTCTTCTTCTTCTTCTTCTCCTTTTTCTCTATTGTAACCTAGGACTAAATAAGGTTTTCACAACTGATAACAAGGTTATAGCACCGTCCATTTAATGTAATATTTTAAAAGGAAAATAATAAGTAATAACCCAGAAGATATATTGGGCAAACATGAATAAGAAATTGTAACATACTAGGAAGGAAAAAAAAACTAGCAATTCTGAAAATCAGGTAAATGAACCGTACCAATATACTGATACTATCAGCAAAACGTACACCCAACTCGGTCATCAAAACAAGGAGTGTTCCAGCAATATATGCTGCCCACCTAAAATAGAACACACAAGTAAATTATAGTAACAGAATTCCAATGAGTAAAATATTGAAAACCATGAAGAAGATAGACCCACTTTTGTGATGGATCCCTCGTGAAGTATTTGTTTGCCTTTTCATATGAAATTGGCTCCTTGCCATCCATCAAATCAGATAATTCCATATCAAAGGTTGTTCCATGGTTACTTGATTCTGATCGATATGAAACCTGACAAGAGTAAAATTAGCATATACAAGGCAAAACGACTAACAAAAGAACAGAATAGTCAAGGTATTTTATCAGAACTACATGGGTTCATCATTCTGTATTATTAAACAATACTTACTATACTGAAATCTTAAATAGGATTGTTAGAGTCAGTTAGAAAAGGGTACTTTCATCTTTTCACTTTATGTATTATGTTGGCTGTATGTCTCCTCACATGCAGGGGCATTTCAGTCTTTTGCATCTTATAATTTCAAATGCAAGTATATGGTCGACTGGGTTAGATGAAGAGTCTAGTTCGATACTTTCTCTCCCTCTTCTTCCTCTTCTTCTTCTTCTTCTTCTTTTTTCTTTCTCTCTCTTCTCTTCTCTGTTTGGCTGAACACTTTCATGGTATCAGAGCACCAGTATTAGAAGCCGACTGCAACCTTCTGTCTTCTCCTTCTCCTTCATTTTCGTTTTTTTTTTCTGGGTGTGAGAAATCTGGGTTAGAGAAGAAGGAACCTAGGTACCTGCGGCAACATCTAGTAGTTTGTGATATTAGGGTTTCTATTTCTGCGGCAATACCTAAGGTTTCATGACAGTAAGGGTTCTGCAACAACCTTTTTTTTTTATGGTGTGAGAAATCTGGGTTAGAGGACTGTGAAGTAACCCAGATTTCTGGTTCTGGTGACAGTAGGCAACTACAGCAGTTCGAGTGAACAAGAAATCCAAGGTTTTGTCTGTGTGAGGACTGCTGTCACTATATGTGACAGCTGTGGTGGTCGAG